CTCTCGATCCCCCGCTTCAGACTTGCGTGGTACGTGTTGTGGGGCAAATGGCCGGATGCGGGCGTCATGCGGCTGTTGTTCGATGAGAATAAAGGCACTGCTGGCGAAGGTGCGGACGGCAGAGTGGTGGGGTGTGGTTCTTTTGAAGGCACTAGCGGTGGAGAGGAGGGTCATGATGATTCGAGTGGGGCGGGGGTGCAGCTACAGCAACAGCCGTCGTTGCCGTCGTCCCTAGGAAAGCGGAGGCGACTCGGTGAAGATGAATTTGTTCGATTTGCTACTGTCTACTTTGACACCATGGGAACCGATGCAGCAGACTTCACTTGCGCTGATGGCGCAGGTGGCGCAGCAGGGTTGTGCGGCCCCCCGATCGCAGTCACGCGTGCCAGTCAGTGGGCACACTTCGAGGCTCTCGCTGGAGCAAAGGGTTACGTGTCCCTTGAGGACCTCGTCGCAACGGAGCAGGTGGACTGGCTCCGTCAACCCATGAATGAAGGAGATGCCTGCGGCAATACGGCGGAACACATGAACGGCGCTCCGGCAGAAGTGAGGGGCAACGGTAATGGGCGGCTGGCCCTGCTGTCGCACGCGTTTGCCATTGTCGATAGTGATGGGGATGGCAGAGTTGTTTTTGACGATATGGAAGGTTATCTCGGGCCAGCACTATGAGGAAAAGGAGGTACTCACAAAATGGGGCGAAAGAAAAGCATGTGTAGTTTGCTTTCTGGTTGTTTCGCGATTCTTTTCTAATTATTTTGCTTTCGTGGCTATTTCTCTCGTTTGCATAACGAATCTCTTCGTTTGTTGTGATGAGAGGAAACGGGATCAACAAAAAAAAAGGATAAGGGAGTAAACAGGGTTCAGCAGTGCTGTCGACGATGCCCGAGGTTGGCTCCCAGGTGTATTGGCACAACATTCCCGGGAGCCCGGCCCCGTGGAAGGACGAGAAGGAGCGCGCACGCATGTGGGATCTCAGTCGTCGTGTTGAGGGAAACATTAGCGATACGCGGTACTTGTTGGAGCGGCCGCTCACCGAGTTGCTGATGCTGCGCCGCGTAGAGCGAGGTAAGCCGGCGCAAGCTGATCATTACTGGGGCCTCGTCCTCGAGCCACACCTCTCCCCGCTACACGGGATCAACATGGTGATGAAGGAACTGCAGGTGGCCACCGTAACACGTGAAGAGGCAGCAGAGGCTGTTGCGGCTGTCATTGAGGAGTATGACGTCATGACGCAGCAACAACCGTCGCAGTCGCAAACCAACGCCGGACGATATTCGGTAAAGGCGGAAATGATGACACAGCAGAGCACCGCCCCGGCAATGGACATGCGCGAGGCGCCTCTCCTCGAAGTGGTGAAAGTGCTGTGCAATGCAAGAGGACTGGAGGTGTCGATGCTCACCAAAGCCGAGCTTCGCCGTAAGGGTCGCATCGGGGTGGCCGACGTGTTGCCGCGGAGGCGCGTCATCATGGCGTTTGATCGTAGCAAGCCACATTATATTTTCGTTCGAACCGTGATGTTGCGCAAGGCTGGGAAAAAGGGTTTCGTCAAGCCTCATATGCAGCTGGTCGCGCCCACCTCTAGCCCTGTTCCGTGGCGCCGGCTTCTCCTCGCTGGAATGCCGAACTTGCCGTCCAACGAGTGTGTTGTGGTGGCTGTGCAACGGGTCCACGATAACTACGACATTAACGGCATGCCCCTAAAGGGACAAGCAGCGCATGTGGATGATCGAGAGCTTGTGTTAGGTGATAATAACGATGAAAGTGATGATGGTGCCGAGGGGGGCGTGAATCGAAAGCAGCTGAAGGATGGGAACCCGAAAAAATGTCGCAAGCGATCTCGGGAGAGTGAGGGCGACACCTCAGACGGTGACAAGAGTGATACAAGTGACGAAATGGAGTCGTTGCGTAGGAAGGAAACGGCGGAATTAAAACGGTGGCTCGGTGCTAGCCCCATCTTCACATTGCAGGACAAGTTGCACGATGACCCCCTCTTTGAAACCCCCGTTGCAGTTCTTCGCAAAGTGCCACGGGTATCACACGGACTGCACGATTGGGTTCAGCGCCTAATCTGCATCAGTCTCCGCAAACAGCTCTATGCGATGCGGTACTAAGGAGCCCCGCCTCCATGTCATAACACACCTTGGAAGTGTGTCACAAAAAAGAAAAAAGTATTCGAGAATAATGGCGTGGGTTGGGAATCCTCAAACTCACCGGCGTGTTTTCTTTCCATACTCTATATAGCGGTGTTGTGAGGGGTGTCATTGTTTGTATTTCCTTTATGTCCCTTTCACTTTGTCTGTTTCATTTTTTTTTTCTGTTGTTTTACTGTTTGCTGTGGTGGAAAAAAAAAAGGAGGGGTAGCAATGGCACTTGCTGCTGCGACAGGACCTTCCCATCTTCCTATGGAAAAGGACCTTATCATTGCAGGTGGCCACAAGGGTGACATTCAGCGTGGTCCCAGAGCCACTAGCGGCTCTGCCACCATTGTGAAGAGGACCACCGCGTGGGAAGTGCTCATGTACCTCGGCATGGCCTTACGCGTCGATGAGGCCATGTGTGCATTAGCTGTGTTTGTACCTCCTCTTGTGGCGGTTCTGCCACCGGCGAAGCACGGGACTGGTGATTGGATGCGTGTAGATTCTTCGGAGGATGTGCCGTTTCTGGTGAGGTGTCACCAGAAACTACAGCAAGCGAGTGCCGAAACGCATGGATACAACGAACTCATGGACGCTGCTGTGTGGGGTATCTGTTTGATTGACGTAACGGACACTCTACGCAAGCCGTGCGTGGCAGATTTCAAGGTTGGTTTTGTACGCCACTCCCCACACACACCTGCGGAAAAGGTAATGCGGATTAGCAGGAAGCGACTTGTGCAACCACATGCCCTCCGCCTCTGTGGGGCGCATCATCGCTACTTTCACTGCCCCACATCAAGTGATGTGGCATGTCTTAAAGAGGAAGTATGTGGAAAGGATGTTGGTTATGCATTGGAGACTGAGGAAGAATACCGTTGGTGGCTCCGTGCTTTTTTTTCATGCACAGCGAGTATAAAAACTAGTGGTGAAAATTTGACTTGTAATGACAACGAGAGAGTGACAGCGCGGTCGCACGTGTGTCGTCAACACCTGCAAAAGCTACTTGTCTTCTTCAATAGCTCGCTGGGTCGCGCACTGCTGGAACGAACCGCCCTTGTATCGACATCTCTGCTGCTTATCTACGATGCTGCCGACGGTGTGAATGGAAAAGTGGATGATTGTGAGGGTGTTAATGTTAATACGGATTTTGATAATCATTGTGATGCCCGTGTTTACTTGATCGATTTTGCTCGATCGAGCAGGCGGCGATTGAACTTTGCAGAGGAAAAGGTCGGTTTTGTGCAAGGGTTAGAGAACATGGTCCATCTTCTTTTGTGAGAAGGTCAAGGTCACTCCCTAACCTCTCCTGTGTGACACCTACATGAGAGCCTTGGTTTACACTTTATGTCAATTGGCTGTCCTCGCATCTTCTGTTCACCGAGTTCTCTTGCTGCGGCAAAATTTTGTGTACTGTTTCTTCTTTGGAAGGATGTACGTGTATACACGCACACACACATATATATATATATATATATATATACTTCTTGATATTAAACCGCAGAAGCTTCTGTGCTATTCCTTTTATTCAACACTCAGGTGTCCCAAAAACAAAAAAAGAAACAGAACGGGGCGTCCTGTATGTGTGTCTTTTAACAGTTTCTGTGTCTTCATCGGTATCGTTCTGTTTTTTTTTGGGGGGGGGGATCTTTCTCTAAATAACGTCAATGGGACGCCTTTGGTGTGTATATTCATCCTTCCTTGTGGATCTTCTTCGTTCTCACCTCCGCGTGCAATTTACATAAAAGCGACCACTTTTGTTTTAGAGCAGTAGATCACAGTTCTCATGCGGAGCAAGACCCTGCGTAGCGACGGGCACCTCAACGCGTCGCACACGGCCTCCACTTTCTCTACGGAGGGAGCGCTGACGCGCTCCACCGGGATGAGCTCTCTATTGTTTGACGACGACCCTACCCGGGGCGTGCCCTACCCTACCCCGCACGACATCCTGACGTTTGTGGGAGAGCTACCGTCGGCCCCTCGACGTCCCGACGACGATGAAGAAGAGCAAAGCGATGTGGAGCTGAACAGCAGGGCAATTGTTGCTGCAGAGCGCTTGCCAGAGCGCATTGTGCTCGAGGACAACGACCCTTTGTGGCGTGTTCTGTTACAGCTGTCGTTGCCAACCCCGCCGCTGCTGCCACCGACGTCCGGGAATGAGGCGTGGCGTCAAACTGTGCGTTCCAACGACAGGGACGCTGGGCGACGACGGGTCTGGGTGTCGCTGTTCATGCACCATATGGGGTAACAGGAGCGGTGAGCATGAAGTTTACGTATCTTTTGGGGGGAGTTTGATTTTTGGGTTGAATAAGTTCATTGAGACCATTTACTCGTTTGCTTTATTGTGTTTTTTGTTCTGCTTTGATTCCCACCATTTTTCACATAAATAAGGGTTTCCTGTATGCCGCAGTGGATCCTCTTGCGCGTGGGAGTATGCTAGCAGTGGGAAGCCTAGTTGATGATAATGCTGGTACTTTCATTTGCTACGCACCTCACTATGTTTGGTTTGTCGTGTAAACACAGTGCATTAATCATCAAACAAAACCGACCTAAGCCAAAAAGAAAGGAAGGAATTGCCTCTCACGTTTCATTCCTTCCGAAATGAAAAAAAAAACGTGTTTTGCTTGTGTTTAGGTTCATAAGGTGTCTGTGTGCGTATAGTGGTGGTGCTTCTTCGCTGAAGCAGTTGAGTGCATTCTGTGAAGCAAAGAGAAGTCTCCATGTTTCTTTTTCAGTTATATATATATATATATATATATGTATAT